AGATGGAGATGGAGATGGAGATGGAGATGGAGATGGAGATGGAGATGAAGATGGAGATGGTGGTGGAGGTGGAGATGGAGATGGAGATGGAGATGGAGATGAAGATGTAGATGAAGATGACGATGATGATGAAAATGTGATGAAGAATAAGATTAAGATGAAGATCCAGATAAAGGTAAAGACAAGGATACAGGAAAGGGTTAAGAAATCCAACTGAGAATCACTCTTGCCAACAAATGCTACTTTGGACTGAGTAGGCAATTGGGAAGTAAAGTTCTCTCTCGTCGTACAAAAATCACACTCCATAAGTCACTCATCATGCCGGGCTGGTGTATGGTGCGGAGGCATGGACAAAGAAAACATCTGATGAAGCGGCTATTGGAGTTTTCTGCGCGTTGGTGATGGCGAATACCGCAGACGATTTAACGATAAGCTGTCTGAGCTTTACAACGATATAGACATAGCGCAGCGAATTAAAATCTAGCGGCTCCGCTGGCTAGGTGATGTCGTTCGACTGGGCATAAACTCTCCAGCTTTGAAAGTATTCAACGCGGGTCGCGATTCTGCTAACAGAGAAAGTTCTTATCAGCTTTGGAAAGACCAGGTATAGGATGACTGGGCTTCACTTAGGACCAGTTTAAACTTAGATTAAGTAAACTGAGTTTAAATTTAACGGCTGGCTGACATTTGATTGTCTGATCTTAGTTTAAACCAGCCAAAAAAGAGCGTTTATACTTAGTTTAAATAACGGTCTTTCACAGAAAAACTGGCCCTCAGCATTTCCGATTGGCGTCAGTTGGCGCAAAAGAGAAACGACGGGCGTGCTATTTTGGACTTAGCCGGAATAGCTGAGGTGGTTACAGCGCCAATAAGAACGAAGAAAGGTAGAAATTAGTATAAAGATAAAGATAAGTAGTTATCGACAACTTACCGAAGAATTTTCGTCACAGTTGAGTATGGCGTAAAAGTCCTCATCGGGACTTCGCTTGAAGCTTAACACCGCATCGACTGCGCTCATGTTGTTGTTGTTTTGGATTTGGATGCGATAAACTTTGTTTTGTAATAAATTTAGCTCCTACCAACAAAAAATAGGTACTAGATATATATTGTAATTTAAAAAAAAAAAAAAAACAAAGTTACACATAAACGCACAAACTCATTAAATATGGGTGATTACAAAACTTAAGACAATACCATGTTTTAATTGATAATTTCGATGATAAGCGCCTATAGGGTAGCAGCAAGCACAACAAGTGTTTATTGATATATTTTAATTTTAAATCTTTTTCTTCTCTTTTGGCTGCTTGTTTACATTTGCTAAGAATAGCTTCCATTCAAACTCAATTGTGTTTATTCAAAGTAAATACACTTTACATACAGTTTTTATGAATAGTTGTTTGTACACAAATAAATAATGTGGTACGTGCCTGAGTAGTTGAGAGATAATCCACACAATGCAAACACGTGTACATACATATTTATTATGTTAAAAAGTATGCATTCAAAGTGCCAGAAAAGAAAAAAAAGTTTGCCTGAAGTCAGCAAAAATAATTTGACCTTCGGCTTAAGAATAATAATTTTGCTAAATTATTGAACAACAAAGTCAATAGACCACAGAGAAGGTAGCGAAAATGTTGCTTGCTGCCTTTGTAATGCGATTTTAGCTCATGACACCAACAACAATAAAATTTAAGTTGCAAAAAAAATTCAAATGAGAAAATGAAAAAACAAACTGAATAATCCACAATCGTCACTTTCACTTCAAAAAGCGCGCTGCAACGCTTATAAACAAATTCTTTGTTGTTTGTATGTTTGAATGCACATAGCTTATATATATGCACATACATATGTACATAAGTATGTTTATATGTAAACTTCTCAAATTGTGTACTCTTTTAATAACTGAAAAAATCACTAGCAAGCGCGCGAAACTCGATCGATTGTAAGCAAATATTTTTTTATGGCGTCAAAAACCAGTTCTTTCAATTCAGTAAATTAACAAACCTTTTTTTTTTGTAAAATAAACTTTAAGAAAATATATTTATAAGTACTTCTATATAAATTTTTCTTTCAATACAGCAACGCGCGCGCTGCGTTGTTACTAACAGCACGACGATTTAATAACTGCCACAATTCCACGGCCGCTCAGTCGCTCAGCTGCTCAAGTTGCTCAGCAGCTGCTGCTGTGGCTTCGCATTTGCCTTCACCTTCGCTGGCACACTCGCGATTAGTTTTTGTTGTCATCTTTGTTGCCAATTTGGCCCAATACCGAAATGCACACCTGCTGGAGTCGGCGCCGCTACTCGTCACTGGAAGTCAGCAAAAGCCCTAAACGCTGTTGCTCCAAAGCTGAGTGTAGTGACGATGTCTCCGCAGCAAATAATTGAAAGTTGCACGGTGAGCTTTGGTTTCGAACTCATTGTACACAGTGTTATTGTATTTTTTGATTTATTTTTACATATATGTATGTATGTATATGTATTTCACTTTTACTATATTCCGCCTATCTACTAAGCACTATACTGACCTGAGCTGACGCTGACATGGATGCCACAGCTGATAAGCTATCCGTAATGTTTATGTATTTAGTATATATTTTTAATTTATTTTCTGAAGTAAGAATCGATATGGTCAAGTACGCGCTTGAACACGTATACCTATGTATAATGTTGATGTGACGGTGTTGTGAGATGTGATGTGATGATTCATCATGCGACATCAGAGTGACATCGCTTTGATTTGCTAGAGTATATTCAATTAGAGAGCATACGAAATTACAAATCTCGTAGCTAAGTCAAGTTTGTTTAGTTTTTATATTTTCTGGGAATCCCCTCTATGCACATTTATGCAGATAGCTTTTGCGGGGAAAACCGCAATAACTTGACTGTGTAGTGATTCATCACACTCTGTGAACTATAGTGAAATTTTACGAAAAAGCTTTGCTCAAAAAACATTTATCCTCTAAACTATGTTTTCGTTAGATATTTTGGTTCAAATTCCAAATAGGTAAGAAATTAACCATAAATACATTTTTAGTTTTAACTTATTTCTGGCGTTTAAGTTGAATTTTGAGCAGGAAGCGTAACAGTTATGATCTCTAATAATAAAAATCATAATTTAACGTTAAAATTTTATTTTTATTTTTCCAATCGCATTAGACCATTATCTTATGATTTTTTCAATAAAGAATAATGGTTATTTTTGTGACTAATAAATTCAATTTCCATACGCTGAATTCAGTAGTGATTGTAATTTTTATATCAACCCGTTTTTTGAGAGAAATTTTACGATTTTCGATGGCTCCGAAAATTCGTACTGGAGAGTTTTTGGTGTGAATAATCCGAAAATAAAATTATTTTTGTGACCCAACAAATACCTAGTACAGCTTTCATACAAAACATATCCAAAAATTACCGAAAAAGGACAAAAACGTGGATTTTTGTAACGATTTTGCAATTATCTGCAAATAAAGGTCTTGACATTTATGGTCTATTTTAGGTTCATGATTTTGAGCAGAATCCATTGTCGCAAACTTGTTCCTTTGAAAAAAGTATAATTTTGTTGTACAGTCCGTTTCACTTTAACATTTTTATTTAGTGCAGCCGCTTCTTTTATTTCACACAACAGTGCATGCATTTAAAACAGTGTGATGCTTTCCAAAAAGCTACTAAGTTTTCCAATATAAGCAAATTGCATCTGTCTCTCTTTTGGTAGCATACAAAGCTTTTTGCTTCTAGTTAACTACGAAAAGCTCCTTTTTAAATTGAATGCCTATACGTGTGCTTATTTAAGCTTACTGCTAAATTTACATTACACCAAATCGTAAGCTTTTAAACATTGTGAGCTTTGGTTGGCTTGGTTACCGTATTGCTAAAGTTTAGCTGAACAAATGCTTATGGGATACATATGTATATATACACATACATATATTACTTTTATCAGAGAACGTTTAAAAATTTTACAGACGTTTTAATTTTATAAATGTTCTCTTCTTTTATTACTTTGAATGTTAAAACACTAACAATTTAACTTTTGCTGAAAGTGATGTCAAACCAATCGACTTTTGCCGTGTGACTGTGATCATAGATTTAGCAGAAGTAATAAAGGAGAAGCTCGGCCAAACACTTAACAAAGAAAAGAAATCACCAAACTATTTGTGCGATTCATGAACCGGCGCAAAATTATTGCAAATGTGGAATTTGTCGCAAAATTTGTATAAAAACTTTCTTGCAACAGAATTGCGGCACTGCCAACTGGAAGTCATTAAGTTATGTTTTTCATTGTCCTCGAATATTCCATAAATTGCGGATCTGTATACCGGTTTTCTAGATCAGATCATTTTTCCATTCCATTTTAAGTTTGCAAAATTAACTTTAACAGGGCAAACATTTTAAATAAAATACTCTACTCTACTTGGCGTATGAGTAATGTGACCAACCATATCATAGCTCAAAGAAGTACAGGACCTGAAAACCAAAAATAATATGAAAGTAATGAGAAAATGGTAAAAGCATAATGTAAAAAAACGTTGAAAATACCAATTCAATAAATCTATTTTATTAATTAAAAATTAAACTTTATTCAATAACAATACAAACATAGTACATATTTAAAAAGGAACAACAGTAAAATGAACTTTTACTTCCGAAAATTGCATATGGCTGAGGTCAGTTTTTTCAAAAAGAATCCTAGGGATATTATAAATACAAATATTCTTTATTCATTACTATTGGCCCGTTTTTAAAATCATATTTTTCCTTTCTACGACACCGGACTCCACTTTCCGAATATATTTTTTTTTTTATGAAAGGGAAAGCTGGAAATTGAAGCTCAGAGCGTCTTTCCTCTTTCCCTTTGGCATCTTGATTTTAAAAAAATTTTTCACTTTTTATATTACTATTATTGTGACATACACAAGTTTGTTACAACAGTGTTATTGAGATTTGTTCCACGATTAGTTTAAAGAAAAAAGGAAAAAGAAACGAAGTCTTAGCGGTAGAAGTTGAAGCAGCTATTTCGAAGATCACAAAATATCCCCATCAGACTAGAAATGGGCATGGGCCGAGCTTTAAGCAGGAGCCCGCGGGTACGCACCGGAAAATTCGACTTCAGCACGAGTTCGTGTGTGCATGGGCGTACAGTGAATTTTCAACAAAGTACGAAAAAGCTATGTAAAATTTAAATAGATGTTGAGATTGTGACATTTTAACAACCACATCTCGTCCTGAATTCGGTAGTTTAAGAGTTTCGCCAAAGGGCAAATGGTCTGTTGCAGGAAGGATATATGGAACTTTACTGAAATCTCTATACTTAAACTTAGACAAAGAACCCATGTGCAAGTCTAAAACAAATTTCGGAGTTCAAAAATTTGGGTTTTAATTGAACATGTTTAGTATATAAAATTGTAAAGGTATATTAATCGAGAAAAAAAGAGAATAAAAAATAACTACGGGTTTCGATAAATCAATGTAATTTAGAATTTTACTCTGAACATAATATCAAGTCAGAATATAAAAAATTTAAATCGTTTTTTAAGGTATGGCTATACAATAAAATTTGACAATGAAAAATATTTTTTTAATCCGATTTCTTTCTTAAGCGTGCAAGTTTGATCTTGATCGAATACAAAAACACCCAGCTAATCTATATTGAATTACTAATATCTTAAGTGAGTATAACCAGTTAAGAAAAAAATAAATACAAAATGTCATACAAATGTAGAAGGATCATCAATATGAAAGGAAATTTCAGATTGCCCGTCTATACTTCAAGATAATTACATTTAAGTTAGTGAGTTAAAAAAAAACCCAAAATTTGGCCATAACTCAAAAGCGACTATTTACACACTTTTTTACATTCTGACTTCACGTTTGAATGCAGCGTAAAATTTTACATGAAATTGATATATCAAATGCCGTGGTTATTTTTTGTCGATTAGTGTGCCTTGAAATCTATATGAAACAATTAAATTAAAAATAAATTTTAAATAAAATTAAATTTTGGAACCTCGAAATACATGTACGTTTATTAGGGTACATAACCAAAAAAAATTGCAGGTTTTCCACCTGAGTTATAAAATCTGCTATATTTAAAGACTTGAGCTAAAATATTTCGGAAAAATATGAAAATTTACGTGATCAAGACCAATTTTTAAATAGCTTCACAAACATCATTATTTTGGTTCTGTTGACACGATTTTTAAACTTTTAAGCTTAAGCTCTTCTATCGTTTGGGGAAATTTTTTTAGAAAAAAACAATTTTTTTAAAATTAATTTTTTTTTATGTATAAAAAAGTAAAATTTTGGAGGTATTTTCAAGTGCTTCCAGCTAACGTAAATCTTAATATTTTTTCCGAAAGACTTTGGCGGAAGAATTCAAATATAACAAGATTTATATTTCCGTTCGAAAAACCACCCTACCGCTTTTTGTTAAGGAGAGTGACGCATCCTAATGTACATATATAAATATATGTATAACCAACTGAAAAATTTTGAGTTGAGTATGCAGGACTTAGCCCTGCCTCTTATTCTATGTTGTGTACAAATTTCATAGCTGCATCGATTACCAGTATCTTACTAGAACCAAATATGTATGTACATAAGTATTCATTTTTACTATAGGAGTAAATGTAAATACAATATGCAAATTTAAATCTTTAAAGCCGCTTTTCTCAAGTTTTGTTTTATTGAGTTATGACACTATTGAAGTAAATGAGCGATATGTAGTACCCATATTCAATCAACATACATACATATGTACATATGTATGTTCCGTTTTCTTCTGCTGTTAGAAAAAAAATTGATTTTGATGTTGCTCGGACCAGGGTAACCCCTGAGCCACAGCGGGCAAATATTTAACTAAATATTCGAAACCAAATTTTTAAAAGAACAACAGTTGTACTTCAGTTACTGTTTGGGAGCAACTATTTGATCCATTCATTTACTTATGTACGTATGTGTGTATGTTGATTAAATAACTTCTTAATTTGTTTTTTCTCTTACTAAAGTTTTATTGCTCTCTCTTTTAATTGCATTTTTACTTCACTATTTTTATATTATTTGCTTTTTTTTTTACTTTGGAACATTCTTGCTGCCACTGCTTTTATAGATGAATGACGCGCGTAGCCTTAAATGGAAGAAAAATTGTGTGAAAATAATTTTCTATTCTGAATGCTGTGGTTGAAATCTTTCAAAGGTCATTCGAGTGCATCTATTTTAAGCTTCTTGGCTATTCTTGTATATTAACGTTGTATTTACTGAGAAAAACACATACGTAGATATACATATATATATTCGGATATAATAAATACTTAATGCTTATGTGTGTAAGTATTGAACTTTTGTACATAGATACATAAGAATCGAT